TTCCCTCTGTTCTACGGCGTAAATTCAAACATTCGAAGAAAATATGTTAAACACCACTGTTCTACAAAAGAAGTAATTCTCAATTTTTCCAGTGTAAATATTTTATTATTTTCACAGTTACATAGATATATGTACAGATCAACGATTGAGATCAACCAATTCTCGACAAGCTTGTTCATTTGCTGTAAAATAAAACAAAAAACCAATTACAATCATGTGTAGTTTTCACATTGAACTAATGCTGTTTACACAGATTCGATTGAAAGTATTAAAATTGTTTATCGTACATATATGTTGGTGAATAGCATTCCTAAGAGTTTGTGTCTTTCATTCATGTTATGAATACTGCACTAGTGTTTCGAACATTAGGGAGTTGGTTCAGATGTAGCTGACGAGTATGAAATAGAACTACATGAACACCATAGATGTCACTTCACTTAAGAATCAAAGACTATCTGTTTCAAATACTGAATGGTTAGTACAGTTTTCCCTACACATCTAACAGTTGAATAAACGAAGCATAGAATATTGTCTTATCAATTTATAATCAACATATTGAAACATGAAAAGTCAGAGTAATTTGCTTTTAAGGATCAAGCATTGGAAATAATGAACATTTGTAGTTGTTTAATGCTATGCTCTGTACTAGTTGTGCCGCTCTCTATCACATGTTGTAAGATTATTCTTCAGGTAAGATTACATATTAGGTGTGTTGTGTGGTTAGATCTTCCAAGGACTAGTCGAGTAAGTCAACGGTGAACTGATCGATAATTGAAAGACGGATTGAGGCATAAAGCACGCGATATTCACTGACATCTCGGTACATGGTGAATTAGTGACCAGAGGACATAACAGCTTATCTAGTTATTTAAATACATTTCACAATCAAAATACTAAATTGGATTATCTGGTCATCAGCAAATATCATATCACATTGAAATATTTCATCTCATTTATGTGGTTGTGGTTTGTGTCTACGAGGTCAGTCTGCACTGTCATAATAGGTGATCTTGTTACGACAATATGACTTTACTTTTATTCAAAATCTTACGTTTCATTCAAATATGTTGGCTCAGCCAGATCTTGGGAGAACTGAAATCGTAAAATGACTTACATGATAGAACAACACTCGGTAAACAACGAATGGATGGTTTATTTACATTTAGTTACACAATGTCTGACATAGTGAAGTACAATACAATGCATTACATTACATTACATCACACTACATTACACTAAAGCACAGTACAGTACACTAGAGTACAGTACAGCGCAGTAGTCAGTAAACGGTTGAACACAAATTTTTACAGATTATATTGCAAGTACAATGGTTTAAGTATGCAAAATATACAAGAAAAACAAGAAGAAGATGAACAGGAAGATGGTGATGATGATGATGAAGAAGAAGAAGACGAAAAAAAAGAGAAAGAAGAAGAAGAATGGAAATTGGAAAATCGTTTGAAATAGTAATCGATGTACATAGACGATTGACTGACATTAGTGCAAACTAAATATGCAAATCTACCAATCCACTAAAATGTTCACCGATATCTAACATTCAACAGATAGATATTCAGCAACCAGTTTACTTAATAAGAACTTTCATTATGATGAGTGATTGCGATTAGCATGAATTGTACGTAGTTCACAGTGTAAACTTGTCCGTTCACTTACCACAAACATTCTTATTTATTCATGCGTAATCGTGTACAGTTTAGTGATTTGGGGAACATCAGATACGTGAAGCAACTTTGCAAACATAATAGTGCAAGGAGATGCTTCGAAGAGAGAAGTTGCAACATTCTGGTTGGTGATGTTATGAGGCATTTGTAAGTTAAAGCTAATTAGAATATCTGACGTTCCGAGAATGTAGACTGGAACTTCAAATACACACACTGAGATGAAACGTATTTCACTGTTAAACTTCAATTAACAGTTTTCTCTAACGTGTGTCAACCGTTGCTTACTGACTGACTGACTGCTGACTGACTGACTGACTGACATTTTTATGGACAATGGACACTCAGTGCATTTCTCAGTAAACAGTAGCTCAGATCTACAGATCAACTTTGCATGGAAACACTTGCTTCTTTCTTTATGCCAACTACATATTCACAAATGATATGTGTCATTTCAGTTGACCGAATGAAAGTACAACACAACTACCCTTAATCATACAAACCATAATACACTGGCCCTAATTACACTGGATATTCGAAACATTCCTCATTATGATTATCATTATTATTAATATGACAATGATAAACATGATTTCAACTTACAACAACACACTCTTCCTCCAGTCATATGCTCAGTTGAATTGATCTTTATCGTAGCGTTTTCAATCAGTCCAGAATACAGTTTGCACCATTTCGGTTTGAGCTGTAAATAAGGAGAAGTTTGAAATGTAACGTATATCTGCAATTCATACATCAAATGGTTGATGGATGTAGCATTCCATCTAATATTAATGGTAATAATAATAGCTCAAATGGGACACTTGACATTTCATTGAAACACTTCGTACAGTCGAAAATTGCAAACGTTTCTTATTCTCTACAACTAAGAATAACAATAATATTTCTGTTAAGATAACAGAGTAGGTGGATATTGACATGAATCGGTGATCATCAATTCAACTGGAAGTATGTATATATACAGTGATATATCAGTTAGACAATTACATATTTAGCCAAAATTTATGGTAAACTTACAATTTGATGTGTGTATAGATTACACTGAGGATGAGATCGGCATTCAGTGAGGCAGTCTGATTTCGTTTTGACTGAATTCAACCAGTAGTTTTGTGAGAATGTCTGCTCTGGCAATCCCAATCTGCTTATCCATTGTGTGTAGTTGCAATGCATATTTGTATTAGATTTCGGGCACTGCTCACACGAGGATAACAATGTCAAATGATTTGTCACATTTGTTTGTGTGTGCAAACAATATGAAAGATGAATTGAAATGTATACAGTGATCACGAATGAATATTGAATCATTTGATGTAACTTGAAATGTATAAGAAATGGTGTGTTGCTCGACAATAACAACAACAACTACTACTGCTGCCGCTGTTTATATAGTGCAGATGAATCAATTGATTGGTGGAATTCGCCATATCCACAAATTGACCAATTGGGTGGTTGCTCATTGGAAATGAATAATTTCTAACCAGTTGGATGAATGCAAACTGTATTGGTCATTTATTTCATTATGAATAGTGATTATGGCTCCCACAGTGAGTTTCTTCCAGTTTACATGCCCATGTTTTGGTCAATTCTATGTTGATGTTAGAACAATTGAGAATACTGTGTCATTTACTTCGTCAATTAAGTCTAGTTCCGATTCCATATTGATGTGCACATCACTGATGTTTGTGCGTGATTCAATCTTGCACTCTCGTTAAACATTACTATCTTGAACCGACGAACTTATATTCTTCACGAATATCTCAATGCAGTGACGATAACTGCTTCCTACATCACAACCAATAACAATTCAATTTTGATGAAGTGATTGATTTGAACAGCGATCATTCTGTTTATCATCTCATGAACTCATCACTGTATGTCTGCTCTGATCTCACAGGAACGATGGCATCATTGCTTAAATAGAATGAGTTAACCATGTGGATTGATCGATTGCCTTAGCTATTCTGTTCATTTTGAATTTCGAAACTGGGACATGTGATTTTCACAACAGAGTGTGTTGCTTCAATATGATACTACTGTGCTTTATAAGTTTCAACACAAATTAATCAGTTCGCTTATGTTGTGTAAATGAAGCAAATTAGATTAGAGAACTAATATCAGTTTGTAAGATAGTGAATATAAGACATGGGAGTGAGTGTGAATCAGCCGACCTCCTTTGAAAATGTTTCTTACATATTCCATCATTAGTGGTTTCTCAATAAACCGACCTTGACCATTTTCTGTCGATTCCTAGTGACATCAAATAGTGTTCCACCTGCGAATTGACTACATCAATGAAATCACAGCAGGGATCGTGACTCAGTAATCTGACTTACGATGTTTATGACTTTTATTACGATGGAAGTGTAGTTTCAGCTGATATATGCATGTTACTACGAATACCAACGGAAATATTCTTATGCCAGCATCAACAATTTTCAATGTAGAATGCACACATCGATCTCGAATCAGTTTACTGATGATTTTCAGAAACGTTACAATCTGCAATCTGTCATTCGTGGTTACAATTTCATTATGATAGATAAATGGAATAAATGAAACATGTGTGGTCCGTTAAGTGTGTCCAACTACCTTTTCTACCGCTTTGTTCAGGGTGATATTCAATGTTGGGACAGAACAATTTTATTCCTTCTTGTTGACTTTCCACCTATCAAACGATACAACAGACTCTGAATAAAGCAGTGATTGTCGCACAATCTTACTATGATGAAACATGTTTTGACTGGAGATATGGTTGACTTTCACCAACCAAACGATAACTCGTCTCGAATTCTTTCCACAAGTATGAAACGAGATCAGTTAGAATGTTTAACTTCAAATACGTTATTAACTTGTGCAACACAGCTAACTCAAAACCATATTTCACTGTTTCTTTCACACAGAATCTATTCACATTTGACAACAGTTGATCGTTTGAAGCTCCATTAAACAACGGAACATTTCAATCAAACATGGGATGAAACTAAATGTTCGTTTACAAATGAGAGACTTTCCCATCTCTACCACTACCTTGACCTTTACCTACAATGGTTATTTTGATCATCATCAGTTTGTAAGTAAACAACTGCGTCCATTCATGTAATGAAATATGTACTCTAGCTAATCTTTGATTATTATTATTATTATTATTGTAGTTGTTGTTGTTGTTTGGTGAACACCTTCACACAAACATCAACTTCTTCTTCCCATAAAACTAAATTGCATATTCGACATCTGCTTTCGTCATATTGTGGTTCACACGTCCTTCCCTTATATAAACATGTTTATTGTTATTGTAGTAAATAGAGCATTCTATCCCCATCATCATCATCATCATCATCATCATCATCATCATCATCATCATCATCATCATCATCATCATCATCATCATCATCATCATCATCATCATCATCATCATCATCATCATCATCATCATCATCATCATCATCATCATCATCATCATCATCATCATCATCATCATCATCATCATCATCATCATCATCATCATCATCATCATCATCATCATCATCATCATCATCATCATCATCATCATCATCATCATCATCATCATCATCATCATCATCATCATCATCATCATCATCATCATCATCATCATCATCATCATCATCATCATCATCATCATCATCATCATCATCATCATCATCATCATCATCATCATCATCATCATCATCATCATCATCATCATCATCATCATCATCATCATCATCATCATCATCATCATCATCATCATCATCATCATCATCATCATCATCATCATCATCATCATCATCATCATCATCATCATCATCATCATCATCATCATCATCATCATCATCATCATCATCATCATCATCATCATCATCATCATCATCATCATCATCATCATCATCATCATCATCATCATCATCATCATCATCATCATCATCATCATCATCATCATCATCATCATCATCATCATCATCATCATCATCATCATCATCATCATCATCATCATCATCATCATCATCATCATCATCATCATCATCATCATCATCATCATCATCATCATCATCATCATCATCATCATCATCATCATCATCATCATCATCATCATCATCATCATCATCATCATCATCATCATCATCATCATCATCATCATCATCATCATCATCATCATCATCATCATCATCATCATCATCATCATCATCATCATCATCATCATCATCATCATCATCATCATCATCATCATCATCATCATCATCATCATCATCATCATCATCATCATCATCATCATCATCATCATCATCATCATCATCATCATCATCATCATCATCATCATCATCATCATCATCATCATCATCATCATCATCATCATCATCATCATCATCATCATCATCATCATCATCATCATCATCATCATCATCATCATCATCATCATCATCATCATCATCATCATCATCATCATCATCATCATCATCATCATCATCATCATCATCATCATCATCATCATCATCATCATCATCATCATCATCATCATCATCATCATCATCATCATCATCATCATCATCATCATCATCATCATCATCATCATCATCATCATCATCATCATCATCATCATCATCATCATCATCATCATCATCATCATCATCATCATCATCATCATCATCATCATCATCATCATCATCATCATCATCATCATCATCATCATCATCATCATCATCATCATCATCTTATTCTATTCAAACTATAATTCAGAGCTTGTATGTTTGTTATTCACTGACAGTTCATTTACAATAAGATCCTGTGAAATTCAATCAACAACATGATCTCGCATTCACTTTACAATACACAATTAGGTTTCTTCCCCGTTCGCGTTACCTTCTCATGTTCATCATTGCCTGATTTCCACATTCTCACCACTGAATGGAACTGTACACTTTCACAGTTGCCTCAATCACTACTTATAAGTACAACACAGAACAATATCATGAGGCATTCTTATTAGGATATCAATGAACTGGTATAATGATAAATCATGATCAATATTCAATCATATATGTACACCATGATTTTGTGGAATCGACTGTTGACATTACTGACTATCGGATAATGAATAATGCACTGAATGAATGATTCATGTGATTGCAGTGCACGATGAATTCACAAATTGATTCTTCGATTGACTTTGTTTTGTGTAAAGCCAGTAGAACAACAGGTATTCTCTCTGCCCGTTCAATGACTAATACGTGTATTATACACTTCAATAATACATATTGCTTTAAATGCTATGTGTGTTCTGCTAGCTTAATCTCCTTCTTCTCTAACTACTAATCATAATTACATGGTTCAACTGTGATGAACTGGTTGAAAACTCATTATAAATGAATGAATCAAATGACTGTGTTCAGTGGATGGATGTGGTTGAGAATATTCTATAGCAAGACAGATATCAGTATGTCTGCATTCAATAAAGTTATGGGTAACGAAACAGACTACTCAATACTGATAAGTAGTAGTAGGTCGAGTAATATACAAAACGCTAATCAAACTACTCGAATGAACAGAATACAATGAACCGAACAGAACACATGTCAATTGCAAATATGTTCAATTCAATCGCATGATTACTCTCATTCACATAGTGTCAGGGAAAATGAGGCTTTGAATGAGACAGACGGTTACTGAATTGCAGAAGAAATATGATCAGCATTAAGTGAATTGAACTTGACAATCCACAATAATCTGCATTCATTCAATTTCACTTTGTGGAAGGCTTCTTCAAGTTCAGGTGTTCACCTCATTCGATTCGAGGTTGCAACAATTGAAGAATGTAGTATATTTCAACTTGTCTAATAACATGATGACATGATGTCTGATGTTAACTTTATAACACATGTGTCTTGCGAAATTACCAGTTGACTTCATTCCAGTGCACACTTCACTCAGATATCGAGGTCTGCATAATCCAGTCGACCACCAGAAGAAAGAGGAAGGGAGAGAGTAAACAGCCTTGTCTGACTCCGGTCTTTACTTGTAATGCCTCTGTCAGCTGTCCTGCATATACGATCTTGCATTGTAGTCCGTCGTCTCAGTTCCGTATAATGCTGACAATCTCCTCAGGAACTACATAGTGTCGATGAAGTTTCCATAGCGTTCTCCTATCTACACTGTCAAATGCCTCTTCATAATCAATGAAGTTGATGTGCAGTGATGAGTTCCACTCAACTGATTGTCCGTAGCGTCGCAATTTGGTCTGTGCACGACCGAAGTTGGGCGTCTACTGCGTCTTTCATCCGGTTCAGCTACACTGTGTCAAAGACTTTCCCGAGTACTGACAGTAGTGTAATGCCTCTGTAGTTTTCACATTCCCTCAGATCTCCTTTCTTTGGAACCTTGATGAGGTATCCTTCCTCCCGAATCTTTCTGAATAGAAGGTGAAGCATGTTTGTAGTTACTTCGATGTCTGACTTCAGTGCTTCAGCTGGTATATTGTCGGGTCGTGCTGCTTTCCCGCTCTTGATGTGTGTGATGGCCATTCTGATTTCTTCGGTCGTTGGTGGATTGACATCTATAGGAGCCGGCCTATTCAGGTGTTCCTCGAAGTACTCTACCCATCTGTTCCGCTGTTGTTCAATTTCTGTGATTGGCCTGCCTTCTTTGTCCTTGACCGGTCTCTCTGGTTTACTATATTTCCCTGCTAGTTCCTTCGTTGTAACGTAAAGCTGTTTCATATTTCTTTCTCTTGCAGCTTGTTCCGCTGTCGTTGCTAGTTCTTCCACGTATTTCTGCTTGTCGGCTCTAATGATCTTCTTCACTTGCCTGTTTGCTTCTATGTACTCAGCTTGTGCTTGAACTTTGCCTGCTCGCGGTTCGGTCGTTGTTAATTGCTGTCTTCTTGTTCTTCCTTTATTTGATCCTGTCCAGTGTTTCTATAGAGGTCCATTCCGTATGATCATGCTTCTTGAGGCCCAGAACTTCTTGACACGTTGACGTTAATCCTCATTTGATACCTTTCCAGTTGTCCTTCAGAGTAGTTTCTTCTTCTTTCAGTAGATCTTGTAAGGCTTGGAACCTGTTGTTGAGAGCTATCTTGAATTAATTGAGTTTGACAGTATCTCGAAGGAAGGCTGTATTGAACATTTGTAGTGCAGTTTGTCCTGTTGTCCAGTTCTTCTTTAGCTTCAGTTTTAAATTGGCCAAAACTAGGTGGTGATCTGAAGCTATATCAGCTGCTCACCTGCTTCTCACATCTTCCATTGTCCTTCGGAACATTTTATTGATGCAAATATGATCTATCTGGTTCTCTGTGGTGTGGTCCGGTCAGATCCATGAAGCTTTGTGTATACGTTTGTGTGGAAATATTGTTCCGCCCATGACCAATTTGTTGAATGCACACACATTTGCAAATCTTTCCCCATTTTCGGTTCTCTTTCACAGTCCATGTCGTTCAATGATCTCCCACCAGAATGGTGAGGTCCTTTATTGAGCACTTCTCTATGATTGATTGCAGCCTCTCATAGAACTGATCTTTAATGTCGTCGTTGCTATCATTGGTGGGTACATAACACAGGATAATATTCGCTGATTCCCAGTACTGCCAAGTTGTATCTCCTCATTTCCGATGCTATTTGACTGGTCTTCCCGGTCTCCCACATTGTCCAGACATTCCATGTACCAGTAAAAACTGTTGTTCTGGTTGTTAGAAGTAGCGTCGGCCTCGTGGCTTCCGAAAGAACTCGGCTTCACTATGAGGCGTGATAGTTCTTCTAAATGAGGAGCTTCTAACTCCCAGGGCAGAGTTTAAATGGTTTGAATTAATTTCTCTGGTTAGCATTTGTCTAGCGAGTGAGATTTCCACTGGATGGGATCGCTAACCACATGCTCAACCCTCGTCCATTACCGTGTTTGGGACCGGTAGTAACTGAAGAAGAGCTACAGACGGAGTTGCTTGCATCATATACATCCACCAATATACAGTAATCGGGATTCAGTGTACATTGGTGTTCACTGTACTCATGCTTATCACATGCTGAATTGTGTTTCAGAGTGCACTCATGATACTAAACAATTGGATGTTTGTCGAAGTAGTTTATATCAGTTTTACGAGTAAATAGGTTGAAATTCCCATGAATATTTCTCCGTGATGTAAACAACAGTTATCAAGAGTAGTCAGTAAACATACGTACCATTCTACCCATCTGTACGTTTCTACAAGCCTACTCCTACTAAATTCAATGTCGACATTTCATTATTTTAATGCAATTCACTAGGATACCCTGACTCAACAATCACTACTACAGTCTCTCGAATAAATGAAAATTTCAATGTACAAAGTTATATTTTACGCTTTAGATCAGTAAATCACTTTGACGCGGCGAATTCAACTATTGCCAGCGTCAAACTAACTAACATCCAACAACTGATTGAAGTATTTCCACTTCAAAACAATCATCTCGAATCATACAGTTTCAGTGAGCTTGCCTAACAATCTTCATTTGAACACACTTTCGATGAGAGTTTTGTCAGTTGAACATACTATGCTTTGTAAAACTGTCAGCGAATTCCAATCCACCTACACGTTTGACGACATCAGAACATGAATGCACACAGTACGGTACCCCAGTGATTCGTATGTTCCATTATAACACTACTGAAATAGTTGTCATGTAAGTTGATAGACACATATGTAATGGATAATTGATATTCACTATGTCAAATTTAATGTGTTTGTTATTTAGTATTCATTCATTTCATGTTATTTGTGAGTAGTCTAATCAGTGACTGAAAATGATCATTCGAGTGGTTACTTCAATTCAGATTCACTCATACATTGTACATCTCATACTATTCAAATGATGATTGCACTCACCCTTGTATATCTATTGTGTATGAATAACATGAAAGTGACTGAGATATGGACAACAGTTGTGTGTGGACACGTGGCACAAATCAGCAATGACAATTATGTAGTAGACTTGAGATACCAGAAATCGAAATGGTGAACGTCCTGGAACCTTTCAGCTTAACACTATCTGGACACTATAAGAATGATCGTTCGACTAGAATAGACATCAGCGATCATCCACCAAATGTGCAAATCGACCATTCAATCATATCCTTACTTTCACGTCATTGATGTTATGCTACAAACAATTGTGATGCGTTTGATTATTTCCAATATGTAAACAGTATCTGGCTCAAAGGTCTAGTGGTAAGTGTTGAACAAGAAGAAGATGATCTCGTCGGACAAGCGAAGATCAGAACATCGGAATGTCTAATCACTAGAGACATACGTAAAATTTGCTTATTCGAACGAGCAGACGATTGAGTGGTAGAGTGTAGAAAAACTTTTCAGAGTGACTTTGGATAGAGCGAACTGTACCATCGTCAACTCTGAATGTCTTCACGCTAAATATCTAATCAGTGAGAGTAAGGAAGGAGATGTCGTCATTGGTGGTCGGTATTAAGCTTGTTTTACATAGTTGTTAATCGCTTCTCCTCCACTCTTTTGCGTATCATTTTATACTACTTATTTACATTCAGTAAATCGTTGTATTGCCAGCAATTTTCGCACCCATGTTGTAACACAAGTTGTCGTGTAATATTCTTAATTACTTCACCTCAATCACTGTAGCAGTTATCCACACTCTTTTGTGCATTGTTAGAGGAAACAGTTTCCACATTGTTTTGTGATTTGTTCGGGTTTTGCATGTTGATAAACTGTTACCAAGTTTACACACAACTACCAGCTGTCTTTTGCTCTATCGTATGTTGTAATTCTTCTTTATGTTACTGTT